TCCTGACGGCAGCTGTAAGGGATGCCACACGCCCCTTACAGCTGCCATCAGGCGCCCTCTGTGGGTTGGCACCCTGGGCAGCTGCCCGCCTCGCCCATGCCTCCATCCAGCCCTGTATGCCTGTCTACTTGAAAAAAACAAGGAGTTTATGGCACCTTAGAGGCTTACAGATTTTTTAGGATATAAGCTTTCATGGGAAAAACCTACATCAGATGAGTTGAGTGGAAGTTACAGTCAGATTCTGATGAAGCGGGTTTTTCCCACGAAAGTTTGTGGTTACAGTCAGCTTCTGATAAAGTGGGTTTTTCCCATGAAAGCTTGTGCCCTAATAAATCTGTTAGTCTATTTTGAAATAACAAGTAGAGCATCCACACTACCAAGCCTGTTATTTTGAAATAATAATGCATACTTTCCATGAGAAACAACGCTTATTTCAAAATAGTTATTTCAAATAGCAGTAGTGTGGACGCTCCACTGCTGCTACTTCAAAATAACTACTCCCCAGAGTTATTCAGAGTAATTACTCCTCAGTGCTTCCTGGGGCTCTAAGTTGAGGTGGCACGTCCACAGTAAGGGAGCCTGCCTCGGGCTAATTTCAAGGCTTCCCTGTAGTGTGGATATGCTATTTCAAAATAGTTATTTCAGGAGTAATTATTTTGAAATAAGTTATTTTGAAATAGGTTCCTTGTGTAGACATGCCCTAAGGTGCCACAGGACTCCTTGTTGTTTTTGCAGATACAGATGAATACTGCTGCCCTCTGAGATTATCTACTTGAGACTGCAGAGGAAGGTTAGCTAAGATCCAGCACCCCAAAATCACTTTATAATGGAAAGTCATTATTTTAGCCTATTGAAGCACTAGCAATGTAGTCATGCTGCCTGGGAGCATGTAAATGGCTGGACCTAAACACCTACCTAATTCTTCAAAGGGCAATTACTTATGCTTTGTATAGGGGTAGAGGTGGTGAATTTCACTGTGCTAGAATACCACCAGCACAAGCAGTGCACCACAAGTTCCAATCACACCGAATTTCATCTGGAACATGTTTATTAACCCTGTTCTATTGCCAAATGCCCTGATGCAAACTAGATCTACTATATAGTTTATTCCTGTGTTAAATGTTTAAGGGCTTCACCCCACTTCCACTGAAGTCAATAGGAATATTGCTACTGACTTCAACAGGAAAGGGCCCTAAGAGAGCTTATACAATCAAGCATCCACAAACTCACAAATAGAGCTTGCAGTGTTTGTCACCCACAGGAGGACATTTGTTCTAAGAATCAAAGAGGCAATTTATTTTTATATTGCATTACCTTATTAGAGTCTGGATTCTTAATGTAAGGTTCAGCACTGCTGGCAATATTTCCCATGAGCACCTTTTCTATTCTTGCCACCAAAACAATTTCAGAATGGGGGTTACTTATGGAGAAAAGAGCCTATAAATAAGAGAAAGAATAGTTAATAAGCAAAGAACAATTCTGTAACAAGTGGAAACATTGTCAACACTCCCCAGTTGGTTGAAAAGAGCTTCCTGTTTGAGTCTAAGTGAACCTAGAGGGATGTTGAATCTTTCACCTTCTCCTAGTCCACTCAGTGGGGATGCTACACTTACAGATTCAATAGGACTTCACTTCCTTAGGCCTACTTAGGTTTATTTGTTTGGATTCACAAGACCGAATTCAGAGGTAATGTGTAAATATTAGTTCTTTTACACAACCTGAGACTCTTTATAATGAGTTAGTCTCTCTTAGAGTTACTCAGATATATAGTCTCATAATTCAAAGCAACCACAGAGTCACATCACAATGAACAGAGGAGTCACTAGTCAGGAATCTTCCTTCTCATTTTGCTGTCTTCACATAGAAGTGATCCAGTCAATCACACTGTCAAACTAATTTGATGTAGGCATCCTTTTCATCTGGCACTTATTACTGCAAAATTTATCTTGGCTATATATCCCACAATTCAAGTTTTCTTTGTCTGATCATCTTGATGATATCCGGTATCACTCCAGTTATTAAATAAATTTGGGCAATTACGTGTTCATTAGTCATGTGTGAGGTATAATTAATGCGCCGCATTTTCCTGTTGTAGTACAATTCCCAAGTAGAAAGGCTCTTTCTATCCTGTTTCCTTAGCATCTATGTCTCACATGCATATAGAAGGACTGCAATCATTTTATTTTACACTTCATGGGAAGACCTTTGTTTCTCAGATTTGACACTGCATGTCACTAGGGCAGTAGGAGTGACTCCAATTTTGTCAGTCCTCTTAAGTGTTATTTAGCATCCTTTGCGGTCAAGCTACCCAGGTATCTGAAGTACTCTACACACTCCAATGCCTCCTCAGATTTGGATAGAAATAGCTTAGTCTTTTCAAAAGATGAAGAGACAATGTCACCATTGTCTCTGTCTTTTCATATGATATCTATGAACCTACCACCTCTGTGTCCATCTCTATTCTTTCTAGCGATTTTTGCACCTCTTCTTCTGACAATCAGTCAGGTCATCAGCAAAGCACAAATGACTAATTTTTCATCCATAAATTGGTACACCATCCTGTGGGTTTCCATCAGTGGCTATTAAAATTTCTACTAGATACCCATTGAAAAGGGTTGATTACAGCGTGCAGCCTTGTATGATACCTGTTCTCAAGTCACTAAGTGGACGTAAGCAGCACTAAAGAAGTCTATCTGAATTTAAGGGGAAGTCTAATTTATGCCTCACTTTTAAATTTATTTGGAATCCCAGGAATGGCTCATATTGACTGATTATCTATTTTGCTATATGTAGACATATGTTTGATGAGAATATTCAATATCACACCAGAGTTACATATTTTTAGTATGAAAAAATCTGATTATTTGCATTTTTATCATGATTCTTCTTTTTGCTCTACATACAGATGAATCTGCATTTCTGGATTCTAATTAGCTGAGTTGGTAGAAAATTTTCAACCAAAAACATGGTTAAAATTGGAATTATACCTAGGGAAACTCCAATTTTGAAGAAGATTTCTGATTCTCTGATTTGAACAATGTGAAATAAACAATGTAGTTTCAAATCAATATTAAAATGAAATGGCATGTTTTGTTTCATTTTTATTTAAAATATTTGATTTGTTTTAGTTTGGGAAATAAATCTATTTTCAGCTTTTGGATTCCAACTGGAAAACAGTAAGCAAGTTTAAATATTGATGCTTTCCCAATTTTCTCACACTTCTTTACCTTCACCCCCATGTCCAATTGGATAAAGAAGGAGAGAGTTAATAAAAAGTATGAGAGAGGATAAAAAATAATTAACTTAAAAGCAAACAAAATTTCCAGAAATAAAAATGTAATAAAATGATATTTTAAGTTGAAACAAAATGAAAAATGTTGCATCACTTTCACTTTTCAAAACATAATGAAAGTTTTCATTTTGAAATGCTGATTTGGTATGAAATAATATTAACATTCTTCCTTCCTGTCATTTGAAAATTCCTTTAGAAAACACAACATGTTCTGGTTGAAAAATTTTGAAAGGAGATTTTTCTTTCAGAATTTTTTTATGGCAAAAATTTGAGTTTCTGACTATCTCTACTACATACACTACTGTTGCAGCCTTATAATATCTCAGGTAATCAGGAAACTTTCTTTCCATTAAAAATTATGTCTAATTAAATACCACAGATGCCTATTTAAAAAAAGTATCACAACCATACAGTTACTCATTAGTATAAAATTAATATATGAATGTAACAGTATCTACTACTGACATTATAATGAAATTCTAGAAGCAGAATGTGATACTTCATGTAGGAATCAGACCAGACTACGAAGTCTTACATTCTCCTTTTGCAAAGTGATGAATTACAGAACCTGCAGAAGAGATGGTCCCATTACTAGACAACCTGAGGACCCACTTTAGGAAAACATCCCCTTTCAGGAAATCTCCCAATGATGTACTTAAGTGCTTTCCTGCATCAAAGGCTAGAAACAGATCTTATATAAATTAATAACTTGGAAAAGAAAGTAGGTATGGATAGTAAATGGAGACTGTGTCATAACTTAGAGAGTAATGCAAACATCTATATTTGATTTTATATTGTGATTTTGTTAGGCTGGTTTGGGAGAGGTCAATGATTGAGTCAAAAAATTATCATAAAAATTGCTGCACACATCATGGGCTTCTCTAGATAACAGATACTGACAGTTTCAAAGGAGCTATTAGAACCCAGTTTAGGATATGTACAGTGCACATGAAACACAAATAGGATCACAAAATCATAGGGCTGGAAGAGACCTCAGGAGGTCATTGTGTCCAGCCCCCTGCCCAAAGCAGGACCAACCCTAACTAAATCATCCCAGCCAAGGCTTTGTCAAGCCAAGACTTAAAAACCTCTAGGGATGGAGATTCTACTACCTCCCTAGGTAACCCATTCCAGTGCTTCATCACCCTCCTAGGCTATGTCTAGACTGCAGGCTTCTTTCGAAAGAGGCTCTTTCAAAAGCATCTTTCGAAAGAGCCTCTTTCGAAAGATCGCGTCTAGACTGCAGGCGGATCTTTCGAAAGAGAAATCCGCTTTTTCGAAAGAGAGCACCCAGCGAGTCTGGATGCTCTCTTTCGAGGAAGCCCTATTTACATTGAAGAACGCCTTCTTCATGAAACGAGGTTTACCGCCATCGAAAGAAAAGCCGCGTTCTTTCGAAATTATTTCGAAAGAACGCGGCTTGAGTCTGGACGCAGGGGAAGTTTTTTCGGGAAAAGACTACTTTTCCCGAAAAAACCCCTGAGTCTGGACACAGCCCTAGTGAAATAGTTTTTCCTAATATCCAACCTAGACCTCGCCCACTGTAACTTGAAACCATTGCTCCTTGTTCTTCCATCTGTCACTACTGAGAACAGCCTCTCTCCATCCTCTTTGGAATCTCTCTTCAGGAAGTTGAAAACTGCTATCAAATCCGCCCTGATTCTTCTCTTCTGTAGACTAAATAAGCCCAAATCCCTCAGCCTCTCTTCATAGGTCAAGTGCTCCAGCCCCCTAATCATTTTGGGTGACCTCTACTGGATGCTCTCCAATGCGTCCACATCCTTTCTGTAGTAGGGGGTCCAAAATACCACTAGTGGTATGAACTGCTCTTTTTTAAACCTCTGTGATACACATCAAACAGCAAGTACCTGTTTAGGATATTTCAACCATGTCTCTGGAAATCCCTTGACCACTGGCTCTTCTGCCTCACTTGTGTCCATAGTTTCATTATTGCCATTCTCCAATGAAGACGAGGAACCTAAAACCATCTCTGTAACAAGTGTGTGGTTCAAATCCACGTGAAAATCAGCAGAGATTTTCCTGTTGTCCCTGATATCAAACAGAGCCATGCTCACAAAAAAAGGCTCAATCTAAAGATAAAAATCAGAAACAGCACGATTAAAATATAATACCACCAGAAGGCAAGAGGCTTAAAACCTAACAGTTCTATATCCCATGTGCCGGAATATGCAGATTCACCAGAGGATGTAGGGTTCTAGAAATTTCTTCCGGGCTTGTATCATTATGCAGGTGTTGTACATGTTCTTAGTCTTTGAAATCCAGGGTTGCAGACAGTCTGCAACTCTAGCTCTGCCAGCTAGGCTAGACTACCCAGAATAGGCTGGGAGAGGTAGGGCATACTGGTATCTCTGCCTGCATCTCTAGCTAGCTAGCAGGATTGCTGGAGTCACACAGGGCAAAGCAAACACAGCACCGTTTTAGGAGGCTGTTGCAGCATTCATTCTCTCCCTACAATCTACGAGGCAGTCTGCCTATCAAGAACAATCTTTCCATGAACTCCTACTGGGGTGCTGTGCCTCCACACCTTCCTATATGTGGCTAATGGCTGCACTGCTATGATCTCGCCCTTTATAGCAGCCCTTTACAAATATGCATGCAGTTACAACAACTAAGAACTTTGATGACACAACATTGCAATTTTCTCACTAGTTGCACAATATTTGGTGTTTTTCTGAAAGCCCCAGCTCTCAGAATTCAGTGATTAGACAAACATTTGAGATTTCTTTTTTTTTTAGTGTCTAGCCATCATGATTGCAGAGGAAAGCATGAAAACACAAACTTTGTGGTTCAAAAAAAACCCCCAAAAACAAAAAAACCAACAAAAAAACCCAACGCAAATAAAAACACCAAACAGTTATCTTATTGGATTTTAAACAAGTATCATGAGGTTGGGGGACTGATTTCTGAAAACTTGGGATTCCCAGTACAACTGGCATATAAATCAGCAGTGCGAAGAGAACTATGCAGACTAACAAGTAGAGCCCTCCAGGACTAGAAATGTCTAGTGGATACTCAGAGATAGACATCAGGATCCATAGATCTGCAGGGCTCTACTCCCAAGAGCCACTGCAGCCAATGGAGAAGAGTATGGTCCCACCATGCCCAGAAGCCAGCAGCTCCTCATGGCAGCATGGCTGCACAGCATCGAGCAGGGCTTTAGGATCCCAGACAGGTAATGCCACAGCTGGGGGCGGGGCAGAGGATGGTGCAGCCATGCTGTCAGGAGGAGCTGCCAGTGTGGGGCGCTGGCACCTGGGCACGTTGGGACCACACTCCTGGATGCAGTAGCTCTTGGGAGTAGAGCCCCGCAGACCCAAATGCTGCCGAGTGAGATTTTTAGGCAAGCGGGTGTGCTTTGTCAGCAGAATGAGTGTTATGATTTTGTTTCCAATATCCGTACTCACTATCTCCTGACCCTCTAGTCATTGTTACTGAACTTACTGCGGGTGTGCTTTGTCACCAGAATGAGTGTTATGATTTTGTTTCCAATATCCGTACTCACTATCTCATTGTTACTGAACTTACACTTGGTTGTACTATATGTCAGTGCTGTGTTGTAAGGCAAAGTTTGGGCCTGGGCTGATTCTTACAAGCTGGTGTGTAGGCTGCTCCTTTGGGAACTGCAGCTGAACTTACACTTGGTTGTACTATATGTCAGTGCTGTGTTGTAAGGCAAAGTTTGGGCCTGGGCTGATTCTTACAAGCTGGTGTGTAGGCTGCTCCTTTGTGAACTGCAGGCCTGGCACTTCACTGAGTGTTCAGTGGGGAAGGGGGTGGATTCTGTGGGAAGTGCTTGCAGAGAGCTTTGGGGTTGCTGCTGTATGTTGTTCACTGAGCCTTCACAGAAGCAGCAAGGCCTGAGGAGCTCTGGAATGTATTGCTTGTACTAGGAGAAGCAGTCAGTGTCAGGGAGCTGAATCACAGCAAACACAAACTAACACTATGGGCTCACAGCGGTGAAGCACCTCACAACTCTAGGTCTCCTTGGGGAGCATCACAGCACCACCTCCTTTGTCTAACTCATGTTGCTTCTTATAAATCTAAGGCCAGATTCACTGTCAGATTCAAGCTATTTTGCACTCTCTGGTGAAGCAAATCAGCCATGAATCCAGCCTAATCATCCAATTCTGACAAATCTACAGTTGCTTTGCAGGGCTAGATGGCACAGGAGAACATGCCCTTAATGATGTTAAGCTATTTTGCACTCTCTGGTGAAGCAGATCAGCCATGATTCCAGCCTAATCATCCTATTCTGACAAGTCTACAGGAGAACATGCCCTTAATGGATGCAGGATGCATTAGCAGATAATCTATTCTATGTTTCCATAGCTCTGGACTGAATTACTGCATTCCTTGTGACAACCATCATTACTTTCCTGCTGCTTCATTTTGCTATAAAACTACTGACCACCTTAAGCTCATTATGCACCTGCTGAGAAAGTTATCTGCAAATGAAAACCCAATGTCCCATATGTAATGCATGGAAGCCAAATTGACAGCACATGTATTTGATACAATACTTGGAATTCTCTCACTTGAAGCAGGAGTTAACAATATCCAGGGGTTGTGCATTTATGCCTTACAATTTATTTTTTTTACAAGTAAGTAAGAGAGAGAGGGAGGAGTATATTATAGATTAACTTTTGTGCCTAACATTGATTTTGAGTTCATGGATTTATAGACTGTAAGCACTTAGTTCAATAAAATGAAAGTTTGTCTAGTTTCAGTTAGTTTGTATTCAGATCCAGTGCTATTTTCTACCTGAATGCAGTAATAATCCTCTATCATCACAATGGATCTGCACATCTCCTAAAGTCAGAGTGAACTACTGCATTATGGTACCACTTTGTACAATGGAGGAGGCACATTAGCATTACAAAATGCCGTGCTTTATCTGATGGACTGTGGTCCACTCTATTTTGACACCAATTTGTCATATGCTTCTAGGATCTGATCCAAGGCCCATGGAAGTCAATGGGAGACTTGATGCCAATGGGCTTCAGATGAGGGCCATAATGCAGAGTGAAGTAAAAGCTGAACTATATCCTGACAGATTGCTTCTATTGCATTTAGATTCACAAAGAATCAATACCTGCAAAATATTCTATTGCTACACTCAACATATTTATTACCTGCAGAACTCCCTAAGGACATGATTCAAGATTAATGTATGTAGACAGAGAGAGGAACGAGCCTGTTTGGAATATGGAAGAAGGAACTTTCACCACACCTCCTAACTGCAGGAGTAATTCAGCCTTAAAGGATTCCCATCCTTGAGAAAAGGAAACACGCACATGCAGAGATAGATACAGAGCTTACATTGGTTACAGGATCATTTTCATTCTCAGTCACACAAGCCTGAAGATTCAAATTGAGGGATTTACAAGTTATCATGATCCTCTTTGCATCCTTCTCCTCAAATGGCTTGATCAATGAATCTGTTCTTGCACACTCCTTTTTCTGAAGATTTGAGGCCTAGAATAAACAATTTTGGTTGTTTATTTATGTGTAATATACACAAAGAAATTCAATGTTATAAATTAGATTTCTATCTGCACCATCTGCCACTGTGATATCTGAACACATTAAAGCTCTATCTCCACATAATCTTGAAGGAAAGACAGTGTTATTACCCCCAATTTACAGATTGAGATCTTAGGTTTCCTAAGGTCACATTAGGTATGAGTGGCAGAGCTGAGAATTGAATTTACATCCCCTGAATTCCAGGCTAGCACCTTGAGAATCAATTTCTAATTTGAAAAATGGAGTTCAATTTGAATGGTTTATTTCCCTATTTAGATTAATGTAGCCAGAACACTAGAGACTGCAACTCCGAAGACACCTGTGTAGTAGAGTTCAGATCTCTAGACTGTTGCAGAATAAATATATTTTGATATTACCATATATTCCCACTGACTTGTATTGACCTCAACTTCAGATCAATTTTTGTTTCTCTACAACATAAAAGTGATTATTGGTTCCAATCCTGTTCCCCATGAAATCACTGAATTCTGAAATGTAATGTCTATTAAGCTGGAAAAGATGTTAAGATAAATTAAAACCAACTTGAACATTTTCAAATCCCTACTTAATCTACTTCAAAAATAATAAATAGTCCTGAGGCACCTTAGAGACTAACACTATCTATCTATCTATCTATCTATCTATCTATCTATCTATCTATCTATCTATCTATCTATCTATCTATCTATCTATCTAAACACAGAAAGAGAGAGAGAGAGGGGGCGGGGGAGAACAGAGTAGAGTATCATGAGCTTTCGTGGGCAAAACCCACGTGGGCAGATGATGAAGTGGGTTTTGCCCATGAAAGCTCATGATACTATACATATAATTGTTAGTCTCTAAGGTGCAACAGGACTACTTGTTGTTTTTAAAGTTACAAACTAACATGGCTAACCTTCTGAGACTTTTAAGCTACTTTAGTAGTTTCAGTGAACTTCTCTGTATTGCTTATCTTTTCTACATGTACCTTTGCAGTAAAAGCCAAAGTAGGGAATAACCATGAAAAATGCTATTCTTGTAGAATTTCCAACCCATGAGGAAGTACCAGGAATCTTCAGATAGTCTGTTCTTGTGAGATTTTTAGTTCAGTTTGGGAGATTAAGGAAGTTGAGACAATTCAGAGAAGGAACTAAACTTGGAAGTGGAAGCTAAACTGAAGATGCAACATTCTAAATAGTGTTCAGCATGGATATGGAATTCTGTTGTATAAACAAATATCCAACCTCACTACTGACCTCTAAACAACCCTTGTGTTTTTTGGTACCCAAGTAAATTTGGGCTTCTCTCTTCTGAATACCATTAGAAACTAAACCAGTATTCTTACTTACAGTTATATCAGGATCCAGGGAGAACAGGTTTAGTCGTTCCATATTTCGAGACACTTTCACTGTTTCTTCTGTTTCTGTGATGTACTGTAGTGATAGTTAATAAGTTAGTCTTTTGAATACAGACATTAGTCCAGATACAGTTGGTATACCTTACAAAAATGACTGATGCTTCATTTATAACAACAAAAACTTATTATTTTATAGTTGCTATCATGTGAGAAGCCCAAAGTGCCTTAAAATTTAATTAACATCCGTGCAAGGTAAATGCATTTTATCTCAGTTGTATAGATAGGTAAACTAAAGAAAGATATGGAGAGTAGGGATGTAAGTGACTAGTCGACTATCAGACAAGCAAAAGCTTATTGGATAGTGGACTACTTCCTCGACTAGTCGCTTCCCCCCCCTTGCTGCCTCTATCAGGAGCTGGTGCTGGGGGGAGCTGGCTTAAAAGCTGGTTCCCCCAGCACCGTATCCGCAGGGGACAGAGGAGGCAGGGGGATAGCGGGGACCAGGTGCGAGCTGGGAATCAGCTGATTCCCGGTTCACACCCAGTCCCAGATGCTGTGCCTCTGCTTTTTAAGTGTACTAAGAGCCTGATGATAGGCTCTTAATAAATTTAAAAGGCAGAGCTGCAGTGGGGTTAGCTCCCGGTTGCAGCTCTCCCGCTTATCGACTAATCGACTAGTCAATGGAAAGTCCATCGACTACTCGACTAGTTGATTAAAACAAAATTTAACATCCCTAATGGAGAGGTTAAGTAGCTTGCCCAAGCAATACAGCGATGGGCAGGAATAGAACCTAACTTCTAACAATCAGTAACATTTGGGCCAAATTTAGTCCTTACTTGTATCATAGTATCATTCACTGTAGATAAAATTTGTCATGGGTGGTATGCTGTAGATATTAGAACATAAGCCAGTTGTACTCATTTAAAATAGATTAAAAAATTTTTTATCATAGCTTTTAGCTATTTATCGGAAATAACCAGAAAGTAGCTGCCATTCATTTTCTGTGTTTGATTTTAAATTAGCTTATCTTGATGGAGAGGTCTATGCCACAGACTCCGAGAAAAAACAAACATCTTTCTCTCCAGCTCTACCAGCAACTTTCAGTGACATTAGATAGGGTAACCAGCAGTACACAGACAAGCTTTGCAGGCAATATAAGAAATCTTGCTTCCTTGAGGGCAAAGTCTCCCAAAATGCAGAGATGCTGAATAGAGAAGACCATGAATACTTCTTGAATAAATTAACTTCAAAGAAGCAAAGTGGGAGGATATGGCCCATACACTCTTAGCAGTACTTACAGTTGAAAGCTACTCTGCTTCTAATAAAGCTCCCAAGAGCTTTTCTAATAGGAAATAACAAAACCACTTCCTCTTTTGCTTTGTCATAGCCTTAAAACACAAAATGACATGTGCTGGATTTTTAAACCTCTCTTTATGTTAGTAATCATCTTACAAAGTGCTTAGTACATGTGACCAATGCAGTACTTTACTGCAGGACAGGTAGTAAATTACCACATTTATTACTTTTGCAAAGTCTGGATGCAAGGTGTTCTCTGAAGAATCAGTCTCTTCCTGTGGGCCATCATAATTCTCCAAAACTTCTGCGGAATCTTAAAACAGAAAACCATTTCTGAGAATGACTGTCAGATTTTTATCACCCGAGCAATTAACCTCTAACTTTTAAAATCCATTTTACATACTATTTATTTGTATTGCATGTTTTGTCGCTTTTAGCACTAGGGAACTATCATTATAGACACATTCTATAACTGTTTAACAGAGTGAAAGCTCATGATACCATCTACATGTTTTGTTAGTCTTTAAGGTGCTGCAAGACTATTAGTTGTTTTTTAAGTTTTTCCAGTTACAGACTAATTTGCCTACCCCTCTGAGGCTTTTGGGCTAATCACTGTGACCCTTGACCTTCCCAAGCCCATATTTCACTATTGTTTGTTATTGCTTCTCATTTTGCCCTAACTAAAAGTAGATGTTATTCTTTACAGGGCAAAGGTCACATCTGTAATTTGTTTTGTTAAGTACGAAGCACATTTAAGAGCACTGCATACACAGTAAATAATAATGACCCTTATGAAGGGGGCTTTTCACTTCTCTCCATCCTTCTAGAAGCAGCATAGGGAACTTACTCAAATCTTATGAGCCAGATCCTCAGTTTATATAAACTGGTGTAGCTGTGATGATGTATTTACACTAACTGGGGACCAAGGCCCAAGGCTTCAAAAACTCCAACAGCATGACTGCTGTGGACCAATAAACCCAGAGTTGTGGAGCTGTAGAGCAATCCTTCTATGTAGCTTGCAATTCTCCAATTCTAGAACACCCTTTTTAAAAAATGGTTTCCCCTAGCTATTTAGCCAGTTGGGATGCAGATAATATGAGTTGCTACCAGAGCTGGTTGAAAGTTGTAAATTAAATTCAGTGAGAAATTCCAAAAACGTTCAAAAATAAAGGTGTTGTTCAGGAACAAAAAATAGAATTTTCAGCATTTCCTATTAAATGGAAATTCTGAGAAAAAATGCTTTGAAATAACCAAAACTTCTGGAAGCCCAAGCGCCAAAACTCCTGGCTCAGCCAAGGCTCCCAGCTTCACTGCAAGAAGCTGGGAAGCCCTGAAACTTTCCAGGGCTTACATGGTCCTCTACCCCTGTCTTCCAGAGCTCCCAGTTCCTGGCTTCACTGCAGGGAGCATGGAGTCCATGACTCCGACAGTCTGTATGGTGTGCTCCCCCAGAAGTCCTAGGTTCACACTTCTGACTGGCTGTCCATCAGGTAGGCTCCAAGAAGTAGGACAGTGAACTTTCCTGTGTTAGAAGATACGTCACGATCAACACACATGCAGGGAACATATTAATGTAGACAAATTGGTATTTTCCAGTGGAAAAATGTTCCATCATAAAATATCCTCCCAGTGCTATTTATTACAGCCCTCAGCTACTGATCTGTGGCTTTTTAGCTACAGCTGTAGCAGTTCATGCTTTTAGGTTCCTGGTTCAATCCTTGGTATACCAATAAGGAGGGTGGTTATCACATAAGTGGAGATAACTGAAATTTGAACCGATGGCCTCCGACATTTGGGACAAGGTTTCTTTGAGCTTTGTAACCTAAAAGCCTCATCATACCTCTCTCTTTGCACCCAATACACAGAGCATGTTAGCTGTTACCCACTCAGTACTAGAGCTTTAGGGGGTAGCCGAGTTAGTCTGTAACTGGAAAAACTTAAAAAACAATGCATAGTTTTGCAGCACCTTAGAGACTAACAAAACATATGGATGGTATCACGAGCTTTTGTGGGCACAATCCACTTCGCCCACCTCCCCTCCCCCCGCATTCCATATTTATTTCGAAACTGGACCTTTAATAACTCCATTCATTTGAAGAAGTGGGTTGTGCCCACAAAAGCTCATGATACCGTTTACATGTTTTGTTAGTCTCTAAGGCGCTGCACAATTATTAGTTGTTTTTTAAGTTTTTTCTAGCACTAGAGGTTTAGCTTATGCTTTTAAGTCTGAAAGTCCCTGGGATGTTTGCCAAGAGAGTGTTGTCATTTAGTGACAGGACATTATTACACATTATTCATTTACAAGGGCTACAAATAAAATGTTAGCATATTAATTCAGTAAGCCTCCATCAAAATGGAAACTTATAATAGCCTGGATTTTGAATGTCTTCCGTGAGTAAATAATAAAAATAAAAACAGAAAACAAGACTGACTCACCTCTATAGACTTAAATTCCTTAAAACTTTCAGACTAGATCAGGATAATAAGTCACAAAGTATATACACACACTCGTATTAAATGGAAGACTGATAAGCAAGACACAATTTGCACAGAAGTACATATTAAAGGCAGTCAATGACTGCTTTACTGGGAGCTGCCCCACTTAAACTTCACATAAACTCTTTGAAAATTACCTTCAAGAGTTAACTGATACTCTCAGTGAATGTAAAAGCTTTGGAGCCATTCTGTCAAAATCGATAAAGCTGTAGGTACAGAATCCATCAAAGTTGCTGGCAGCTAAAAAATCTGATACCAAAAGCTGAAGCTGCGTTTTTGTTTTTTGGGGGGTTTTTTTGTATTCAGCACAAAAGCAACACAAGTACATTCACTCTTACCCAGTTTCATATCTGTGAGATCTGTGCTTTTCCTCTCCTGAATGGTCCCTTCTGGATTAATTTGCAGGATTTTGTTGAGAGTGGAAATCCAGTCATCCATGTCCTGCTCATTTTCAGCTGCCAGCACAAAGTATGTCAGGTCATTCATTTTCAGCTCAAAAGCATGTTTCCTAAGTCTGTTATTCTGTAGTATCAAAAAGAGGGGGAAAAAAGAGACAAGAAAAATGAAAACAGGGACTATTTGTAAAAGTCATTGGAAAATAAACACATACAGTGGTGGGGCTTTTATATGGCAAATCACCTTAGAACTAATCCTCAAGGAAATTTAGTGGCATTAAAAAAATGACAAATTTTAGGATATTAATGTTCATGAAACATTGTCTTCACTTACCTGGCAACTGAAGTCCTCTGTTTAGTTACAAAACTCCTATACCAAAGGCAGGGTAGCTTTTCTACATGATTTCTGCCAGTCCTTGTCTACAGTATCTCACACATGAGTTGTAACTTATGTGATAAAGAGTTAAAGCTCTCTGAAGACAAAAGCACTATACACGTGTTAAGCATTATGTTTCAGTGCTGTCTGGAGAGACCACCTCTAGCTGAATTCTTTCATACCCATTCAGTCATCCGACATTCTCTTGAGACTGCTGAAAGGGCACCAATTAGTATAAAATGCAGTTTCTGTGATGTGCCCACTAGGAACTGGACTGGCTCTACCAAACTCATTCTATCAAACAACCCTCACATGGTACGAGTATTCAGTCACTATCAACTTGGGCTGTAAGTGACCCCAAAGTCACTTATAAATCCCTTGTTTCATGCAGTCTCCCATTTCAATGTATTTACAAATGCTACCAACTGAGCAAAGCTGCTGACTAGTTCCAGAGCAACTAATGAAGCTAAAAAAGTGACCAGCCCCCTTATCGCCCCCATCTGCTGTATTGTTGTGTTCCATCGATAGTCCACTAAAACTTTAGAGGCTTGAGTTGGTTCTCCTCACAGACACCAAACATTCTTTTTCTGGTGTTCCTAGTATTTCCCTAACTTCAACACAAATTGAAAATTAGGTTATTTTAAAAACATTTTCACTTTTTTTGGTGATGGGGGGGGGAACATGATCTCTGAAGACCTCTAATTTATCACTCACCTCTCTCAGAACATTGGAAACAAGGTCATTGGATCTTTCTATTTCTGCTCTTTTCATTGACTCACTATTTTCCCTATACTTTTCCATTCTTCTCACACACTAATATGGTAGAGTCCTCACACTATATAATCTTAAGGCAATGGAGGCTAACACCCCTCCCTATAGTAGATAGATCACTGTCTGGACAGTACTTCAACCAGTCCTACAGGCCTTGAAAGTAGGAATAAGGGATCCTCCGGAAAAGGGCTTATATTCCGGAGAATCGCGTCTACACTGGCGCTTTTCTCTGGCAAAAACCCCAATCCGGAAAAAAGCGGCAGCCATGTAAATGCAAATGCCTCGGGGGATATTTAAATCCCCCGCGGATTTGCAATTCCGAAGTGTCTCATTAGCATCCCTTTTCCGGAAAGGGATGCCAATGTAGACACAGCCCTCATGAATATGTAATACAATGCTGAGAATAGAAAAGCACTACAGGAAAAATCTAGAACACCGACTTAATTTAATCCAAGCAACATTATTGCGAAAAACTGTATCAAACAAAATATGAATGATTAATCTCTAGAAGGCTACTGATCTACATGCCAACTCCATTGTATTTCTTATAAAGTTCTTTTTTTAAATGTCAATACATAATATCCAAAGACTTTGTCTTCCAAGAACAAGCTTTCACAGAAAGAACACTTTACTTTAATCTCTGCTCAAATAACATGTCTCCTCCTCTGATTCCATGGTTAAAGTGCAAGGAAAATTCCAGTTTAAAAAAACTGCATAAGTGAGGCCAGTTGTTAATCTAATATAGGCAGTAAATTGTATGATTCCTTTTCATTCTTCCTTGTTAAAATAAACATTGATTACAGAACAATAAGCATTAGGTAGCCTTTAAACTAGATTTTCCCCCCAATAGTAATTTTTCCTCCAACTGTTTAAGAAAATGCCAAGATTCTATGGAAAAAATTAAGTATAGTCTCTGCCCATTTTTCTACACATCTCCAGGACAATTTTCATAATTTGAGGCTGAGGCTGGAACAGAAATCAACCAACAAATCTCTCCAGAAGAATGGAGGAACTGACCACTGTGAACAATACATATATGTCTTCATAGAAAGAAGACAGTGGGAAATTCTGATGGGATATTACCCCCTTCCACATTTTGAAATAGCTTCTTGAAAAATGTTAGATGGCTGCTGATCAGCACATTACAGTCATTCTAAGAAAAGAAAAGTGAATGGAAATTTTAACAAAATGTGAGAAACTACCATACATGACTGCAGCTACATCTTTCTTAAATTAAAGTAGAAAAAATCAATTACCAATGTAATTGCAACCAGAGTTAGAAATGTTCTATATCATCATGATGCACTTGCAGTAGATATTGCATCAGGTCAAGTTATGAGAATGATAATTATTTAGTTAATAGCCTAGTGAAATTGAATTAAGTTACACAATTCTCTAATGCCAATACAGTACATTTCTCTCTTCACATTTATCAAAATAGCGAGCCTTAATGTGATACTCTTATGACTTCAGTTTTAACACTCTTCTAGCAAACTTGCTTAAACTCCAAAGATGTCTCATCTCAGGATGGCCCTAGTTCATAATAAAGCATTTATAACCATTTACTGTAGCTGTTGAAACTCACTAATTTGTTTTCAACATTCCAGAAAGATGTCATTAACAAAAATTAAGTCATGGTTTTATCCAGCTGACCTTAAAGTGACATGGAAGAACCCAACAGTTTTCATCATTGTGTTAGTGCTCACTGACCATTTTGAGTCTGAGGTTTTAGTCTTTTTTCAGTTAATAGTCTTAATTAAATCTCATGATTATGTCACGCTAGCTCTCCAGCTCTATATATCATAGTTATTTCCCATGGCATAGAGTAAGTCTTCTCTTGATTGTTTGCTAAGAGAACTCTAAAGTCAATCTTTTAAAATTCACTGTTCTTGAGATTTTTGTTGTTGTAGGTTACCTCTGAAATGGACCTGGAAAAGAGACATGTTCTGGGTTTTGGGTGTGGCCTTAGTCCAAAACCATTTTGGTGGTATGGACACCAGGGGCTGATTCTGAAGTTCTGACTGAGGTATGTCTCTAAGGCACATACACACTCACAGCAAACTGGAACAAAGCTTTCCTTCTCGAGGCTTATGAGAACTTGGCAAATGCATGCCACCAATGGGGCAGCACAAATTCACAAGCACAGATGAAGAACATAAAACATCAGCTAACAAGTCGGTAACTGACAGTAACTAAACAATCCTGAATCCACCCTCTGTCTATACATATCTTCACAAGAAAACATCAGTAAGATTCCTGATATATCTTGATCTTTGAGATAAAAATCCATGCTATAGACAGCATATTGGGCCCCTTGTATTTCTTAAAAAAAGCTTCTATTTTAATCCTTTTAGAAACAGCAGGTGAAAAGCTTTACTTTATTACTGTAATCTATATGAAAGTCACTGGTTTTAGCCTTTGGTATGTTAAAATATCAGTATTCTTTGTAATCTTTCATTTTCCTCTAGCAATTTTCTTGTCCTCCAAGGAATTTTTTGTACTTTCCCACAGATGTATTCAGTGGCTCAGTCTTCAAAGACAAATAGCGAAATCATTTTGCCCACACACCGTTGGTAATAAAAGCAAGCTTTACATGACTGTAAGAACTGCTAAAGAATGCAACAACTGTGGAGATGTGTGATTTGTATGTGCACTGCTGAACACTTACTTGGCATGAGCACTGACAAATTTAGCAATTCAGTATTGTATATTCGATACTCTTGGCCACAGCAGAGATGAACTAGCTTGATCTTGAGTAGCAGTTTTTTTCTCACTCAGAAGGGACATAAAGGTAGTTTGAACCATTATGTATGTGCCCCAAAGGCTCTCATGGAGGAAACTATTCTTTCTTCCTCCTTGCTCATCATATATGTGTCGGTGTTGTGGGGGTTAGGGGTGGATGGGAGATATGGTGATAATGACCGCAATGCCTCAGATGGTACTCTGGTTTGCATCACTATCTCACCATACCTGGATGGCGCAGATGACTGTTTCTGCTCTGTGTCTACTTGACATTTGGGTTTATAGGAGACCCAGCTGACAAACTCAGACTTGACTGGAATAATTTGCCTGCCTTCTGATATTCAGGTAGCAGCACTTGTGTTTGGCCTGGAGCCTAGAGATTTGCAGCCCTACTTAGAGGCTGCAATACATTTAAGGCTTCATGCCTTGTTTTGTTTTATTTATAATTATAGGTGCTTTATATTTCTTTCTGGAATAGGGTGAGTCAGTCTTGATTCCCTCATTAGAACAGAAATCCACTTTGCAACCTATTGCCCAAGCCTTTACACAGATAAAGTGTACAAGGATTCCTATATTCCCAATCAGGGACTATTCTGTTAGGGTACATCTACACTAGCCCCCTAGTTCAAACTAGGGAGGCTAATGAAGGCAACCAAAATTGCAAATGAAGCACGGGATTTAAATATCCCGCGCTTCATTAGCATGTTCCCGGGTGGTCGCCATTTTGGAAACTGACTAGCCCGGAATAACTGCCCACATCTACACACAGCAGTGAAACGGGAGCTCGAAGTAAACCCCTAACTCAAATTAGCTGTTACTCCTCGTGGAATGAGGTTTAACAGCTAATTCGAGTTAAGAGGTTTACTTCGAACTCCCGTTTCACTGCCGCGTGTAGACATGGGCAGTTATTCCGGGCTAGTCAGTTTCCAAAATGGCAACTGCCCGGGAACATGCTAATGAAGCGCGGGATATTTAAATATCTCACGCTTCATTTGCAACTTTGGTCGCACTCATTCGCCTCCCTGGTTTGAACTACGGGGCTAGTGTAGACGTACCCTCAGACCCATATTCCCCTCCATGCCACTGGATTCACACAATGACAGATTTCATTAGGTCGCTACATGTCTGCCCCTATACGGCCAGGTGCGAGGCTGGTACAGAGATCCAGTCTGCACTGCACAGGGAAAATGGGAAGCCACGTGTACTGCTAGTGTAACGAGCACTCATTTGACATCATGGTACATTCCACCCACTTCAAAGGACCTCTATCAAAACAACCCACCCTTCCAACCACAAACAGCTACAGGTGGCCAAACCTCTCAGTGAGTCAGCTGGAGAGGTTTGTTTCAGATGAGCTCCAAACTGAAGCTGTACAAGGCTCTACCCCAACAGCTGAGCTGTCTTTGAAATGTATATGCCAAGCTCACATCTCTCTCCATAGCAGCATGATGTGCTAGATCATGGGTAGGCAATAATCAGACTGTGGGTCGGTCCGTGGCAAACAACAAACTGTGGCCAATCTGCGGGTAAATAAAGCATCTAGTGGACCACAGCCAGCTCCAGGCCGCTCAAAACCCACCCTTGACCTAGATCAACCTGAGCAGTCTCTTATCAGAAACTACTACTTGATAAGGAACAGTAGTCAGACTGAAACACAGAAAACAGTAGTTGGTGAAAATGTGGATTTTAAAGATTTTATGTTCAGAAATACAGCCACTATTTTCAATGCTAATCTTTCCAAGATATCTTTCTAAGACTAAGGCAGGTTTTAGAATGCCTGCCCTCTTTAAGATGCTTCATTATCTCAGTATATATCATAATGTTAATCACCAGTCCTTCATCTGCATCTGCATCTGCATAGGCTAAACCTCATGTTCATATGGAATTCACAGCAGTCAATGGGATTCTGCATGTATGTAAATCTCTTCCCACATATATTCTACTGCAGCACCAGAGCTATTTAGTTATTTTATATTAATATGTATCAATGTCTGGTTCTATTGGCTCTATTTCTGTCCTTATATTGGCATAAATAGTAACTCTATGAAACCAATGGAGTTAAAAATGAAAATGACACCAGTATCAGACTTATACACATGTTCTCATATCTGAAGTGCATAATAATTATTTGTTTTGTTCTTTATATTCAAAACCTTAAAGAGAACATGTAATTAATTATATAAAACCAGATCCATCAGAGTTTCTCACAAAAGACAACAGAGTTTACAACCAATTACATAAGACAAGGATCAGACCCATAACATCATTCCAAAGTACTAGAATGAAATGAAATGTAATGTGTCTTACCTGCACAACTCCCGTACAGGAATCCAAAAAAATACACCCCTTTGGTTCCTTTGATATTTTCTCGTCTTTGTAAAAATTCATAATGTATGAGTTATCCGACAACTGCGTCAGCTGGAAGTAGCGCTTTTTGAATGACTACAGTGAAAACAAAATCACAATTGCTGTACTGCAAATTGTTTTCATAGATATTTTATTCAAAGGGTTTAAATAATACACCATTGCTAACTGCATTTCAACTGCGTTACTCTGCAGACAATAGTATCATCCATTTTACTATCATTTAATGCAATATAAAGAAACCTAATTTGAGATGAAAAGAACTACATGACAATTGAATACATCAGCACCCCTGCTGGAGTTGGCGGGAGAGGAAAGTTTGGGGGATTAAAGTGAAAAGAACAAAGAAAAAATAAGATGTTCCCTTACCCGAACAGTAATGCTATTGTTTACAGTGCTATTAAAATTCCCTTTATAAAGCCAGCCAGACTTGAAAACTCCTGTTCCAAATCCTCCACCGCCACCCTTTGAAGATGAGTGGGACGTGGTATCCTGTATAAAATACATCATTAATGTTGTATTGACATGCTTTTGTGAGTTTAAAACCAAAGGGAATGATGCATTTGAATACCTGCTTTCTCTTAAAAAATACAATTTTCACATTCCTTTCAAAACTACTCTTTATTAATTCTCCTGCTTGGCACACAATGACATAAGTGATAAAGCTGTTTCATTACATCCAGAGTTAACTAATATATGAAACATTCCACAGAAGATAACGAGACTCTCTTATCATTACATATTTGATGTTAAATGAATACATAATTCAGTACTGGAGGAAAAATCAATATACTTACTTCATCTTTATCAGCATCTTCATGATCAATTTCAAAGGAATGTGAAGGCAGTTTCTCTGGTCTATATTCCTTTCTAGGTCAGGAAAAATGTTTATTAGTTTTCAGCCTCATAAATGGAAGAGAGTATTATTTTTAATGTGACTGCTATTTTGAAGATGCTAACCTTTCAGGAAACTTTCAGAATTATCTAATACTGGACTGCTGTGAGCTTCTGTAAAACATGCCATTTGAAAGTGCAGCACTTTTTATTCCTATTTGAAATCCCTCTGGTCTTTATAACCGGAAAGAACAGTCAGAAATCCCAAATTAACAAGGATTTTGGATTTCTCTGCCCCCAAAAGAACTTTCCAGATAGAGCTGGTGAAAAGAGGGGATCAATTGCTTCACTACCATTTTTGTGGCAACAATTATTCTTCTTTCATCTGAAAATTTCAGTATTTGATTTTTACACTATCTAATCTCCCATCATTTCCCATCAAACATTGTGACGTCTCCACGTCCAAAGTTACACTGATGTTTCATGTATCTACCTTTACAATGTGGAAGGTGTTCAGACATTCTATTGGTGAGTGCTACAAAATAATTCAGTCCTAAGCACTCTGGTCCTCGTCAAGCTAATCACTTAAGTATGCACTTAATTCTATGCACACAAATAATCCCACTGACAGCCAAGTCACTCAGCACCTTTCAGTATCAAGCCCTACAGAACAGTCAGCCAGCCACACAATACAATTTGGTGGATGTTTTTAATAGAAAATAAAAGTAATTTGAATGTTTGCTGCCACCAAATAGACAAATTTAAATTGTTTTAAACTTGTTCAAAGTTAAAGGCAAGTTCTTTGGAAACCACTTTGAATATTAAGTGGCAAGCTATTAAACTGATCACATCAGGCCCCATTACTAATATAAAGAAAATATATTTACAGAATCCACACTATTCCTCAGCCATTTAAAAACACAAAATATTAAGGAACTTGAAACAGACTTAAAAAAAAGAAACAACAATAATAAAAATATTAAAGAACCAAAATCAAATAAAAGTTCAGGAATAACATATTCATTAATTATTGCTTTCCCGAAGGGCCTCATCCCAGGCTAACGTTAGCCCAAGCATATATCCGATATCCCTGGGTCGCATAACGTCAAAGACTTTTTGCAATAATTGCAGTTCATTTTTAAGCATGAAGGAAAATAAAAGGGCATATGTCCTTTCTTGCTTCTTTATCTACTATATATTTGAGAGTTTGTCTGTCTGTGAGTGAACAAATCTATCTGTCCATTTGTTCAAGAACTTCTTCTAAACGCTTCAGAGGGGTAGTCTGTAAGGGTACGTCTACACTTGCTCCCTAGTTAGAACTAGGGATGCAAATGTAGGCGACCGAAATTGCTAATGAAGCGGGGATTTAAATATCCCACACTTCATTAGCATGATCTCGCCAGCATGTTACTCCACTCAACAGCTGTTTCAAAAGTGAAAGTGCGCGCTGGTACGCGTTAGTTCAATCCAAACCCCTTGGTTTGTGTGGAATGGCTGTCTTGTGTGGACAGACTTGTCTTGTGTGGAAAGGCTTATTATAAAAGAAGTGGTAACATCATAATAACCAAGAGAGTGAAAGTGGAGCAACTGAAACAGTCAGAGTGTTCTTTTTCAGACTTTTTAAAACGCTTTGATTTCAGGGGGTTTTTCCACACCTATGTGACTTCATTGACTAAATAACACTTTGAATAAAAGATTCTAAATTAAAGATGAAACACCTGTCAGATAAGAGGCTAGTATTCTGAGCAGACACCCCAGAGAACTCCTGGAGGTTAGCCATTATAATCAGGGAAGACCAGATTCAAGATTCCTAATGTTGCTAGAATAACAATCCCGCTCTAAAAATAAAATAAGCAATGTTTTAAAGCTTTTCTACTTATACAGCTAGATGCAGGGAGGGGGAAAGCAGAAGTCTATTTTTTTAAATGCTTTTTTAAGAAATAGTCTCAGTACCTTACCAAACAATCCCTCTCTTGCTCACAGGAGTTCTGAGTTTCTATGCTACTCAGTACTGAAAATTTACTTTTAAATGTTCATAGAGAAATATGGATACCCAAAACGACTGAAGAGCTTCCTCAAATGCAAAGGGTTAGCAAGATTCAGACACTTTGGGTACATCTAGACTACAGGCTTTTGTCGACAGAGGCTTTGTCAACAGATACTGTTGACAAAGCTTCTGTCGACAAAGAGCATCTAGACTACGTCCAGTTCTGTCGACAAAGCAAGCCGTTTTGTTGACATGAGAGTGTAGACGCAAAGGACGGTGTAGATGCAATAATGCCTTCTGTCAATAGAACTCTGTCAACAAAAGGCGTTATTCCTCATAGAATGAACTGCCGAGTTCTGTCGACGTTATGTTGACAGAACTCAGCGGTAGTGTAGATGCAGGTATAGTTTTGTCGACAAAAGTCCACTTTTGTCAACAAACCCCTGTAGTCTAGACACACCCTTTGGTTCTAGCTAAAGCATTTTTACTTTAGAATTTGTTGTACTAGTAAGACAGGTTATTTGCTTATTGAACTAAGTAACAGTTACTTGTTTTTTTTTCCTTTGAGAAAGACCTGAGAGACCAATAAGATTCCTGTTCTGTTACATCTTTAGAAACAATTCTTAAACCTCTGCCCAACTCCTACAGTGCCACAGCTGAGTGAGTATGTCTCATTAGGCAAGGGGTGTATGAGCAGTCATGGCCTTGCTTGTCATTCCAGAGCAGGGAGTACAAAGAGCGGTAGTAACTGCTGCCATGTGTGAACTTCCCCCAGCTCTTCAGGAGGCATTATGAATGCTCCTGACTATTCAGGCTAGCCCTCAGTGGTTGCAAGGGCTATGCCAGGCTAGCGCCATCTAATTCAAAGAAGGTGGGGCCCTGCTCCCCTCTGCATCAGCTCAGCATGTGCTGAGCACTTCTAAAGAACTTCTTGAGCTCTCCTAACAACTATAGATCAATGCCTGCTAAGTTAACCAGGAGTCCTCTAGATACTCCCTCAATGGCTAGTCCTGAATGCCCATCTACTCAATGCTGTCTGACTCACACTCCCCACCAAAAGTCACTTGTCCTAGCTTGATGTGAAACCCTTTTTTTGAACACTTCAGGATCAGTAGAAAGAACATCATGGGTCAGGGAGGTGACGTCTTTTCTATCCTGCCCCAACTCCACGTACTCTACCTAAATAGCCATATAAAGATACAGAATCTCAAGTAGTTATGACTCAATTACTTAACAGGAAAGTTAGGGGGGTTGCTTAGCAAATGAAGAAGAGAAACCTATTAATGAGTCAAAGCCTGACCTTATTGAATACAATGCCACAACCGAGGCTCAGAGTCAGTAACATTTCCTCTGTGCTCACTAAGAAAGAAGCATAACAGAGCAGAATATACATAGTCGTGCAAAAACAGGTAGTGAGGGAACAGATACCAAAGCAGTGTACTGTTTAGCTGGTGGAAAGGCCTACAGAAAGCCCCAAAAAAGGAACATATCCAGAAGAAAATTAGTGTTTTGTGTAATATCACTTCATGCACAGAAGGCTGAATCAATTCCCCGTGTAGCATACTAAGTTCTGTAGAGCTTCGCCAGGGATGAATTTGGCCTCAAGTGTCTACTTCAAGCAACATATCACCAAACTGTTACCACTTCCCAGTAGAAAGTGCCATTTTCAGAACAGGGAAGTTTTCACCCTGCTGAAAAGTGCTTCCCTATGCAGCTATCAATCTATATGCTGCATTAGTGTGTGACATGACACCAATTCCTCTGAGGGAAGTGAGGACCTCATAAAAGAACCATGGTAGACATAGGGCCATCTCTAGGGAGGTGGGGCACCTGGGACAACCCACCCCTCCATCCCATATCTTGCCCTACCCCAGTTCCACCCCTTGCTCCACTACCACTCTACTCTGTCCCCTAAGCTCAAAACTCCACCCCTACTCCCAAACCCTTGCCTCTGTTCCACCCCACCCCATTTCCTTCTCCCTCTGCTCCACCCCACCTTGCCTCTTCTGGACCTTGCTCCATCCCTGCCCCCACGCTGACCCTTCTCCTGAACTCTCTCCTGGCCTCTTCTCATCCCTGCTCTGCTCCCACCACATCCCCACTGTGCTCCTTCCCCAAAGCCCCAAACTCCTCCTCTCCCAACCAATGCTGTGAATCCTCAAGGTGGGGCAGAGGGGAGCTGGTGGCACTGCCATCGGCCCCCATGCTGCCCAGACCCCACATCCCCTTGAAGCACAGGGCCCCCCAAAGCACAAGGTCTGGGGCAACTGCCCCAAACCATCCAATGGACGGGATAACTCTGTATAGGGGATAACTTTGATTTGAGTGATCCTGAGCTAATTTGGTTTAAACTAAATGGGAGGCTAGACAAAAATAAATCTAGAAGGAGGATCCTTAATTTCAAATGAGATAACTTAAAAAATGTTAGGGAATTAGCGACACAAATGGATTGGATTAAAGAATACAAGGATCTGAAAGTAGAGGAAGCCTGGAATTACTTAAATCAAAGTTACAGAAATTATCTGAAGTGTGCATCCCAAGCTAGGGATGTTAGAGACTAGGGATGTTGAGTCACTACTCAGCTAGTCACTCCCTTCCTCCTCCTCCCCGCACCTTTGCTGCCTCTAATAGAGTCAGCAAGGGGGGAAGAGTAGGAGCCGATGATGGAGTGAGCCGGCTTAAAAGCCGGTTCTCCCCCAGCACCGTCTCTACAGAGGGGCAAGGTAGGAAGAGGCACAGTGGGGAGGGGGACCGGATGCCTGGTTCCCCGCTGCGTCTCTGCTTTTTAAATAGAGTAAGAGCCGGGCAGCTCTTACTCCATTTAAAAGGCAGAGCCATAGTGGGATTAGCTCCCGGAGCGGGGGCAGGCAGAGCCATAGTGGGGTTAGCTCCCGGAGCGGGGGAGCTAAACCTGCTGTGGCTTTGCAATTTCCCCTTTTATTGACTAATCGAGTAGTTGGTGGAAATTCCATCGACTACTCGATTAGCTGATTAAATGCAATTTAACATCCCTATCCCAAGCAAGGGGGAGAAAAACCCATAGGGAAGT